CCTTGACAGACGATGCAGCTTGTAGCGTGCACCTGTCGGGGTTCGCTTTTCAAACTTATCACGAGCTTTGATAAGTTTGTCGTTCCAAGCGTCACGACCTACATCCTCAAGGTTATGGATGTAGGCGTTCCACGCCTGAAGCAAAGAGGGACCATCACGCTTGTGATTCCCACTGTACCATCGATGTCTAAAGAAAGCATCGATGAAGAATTTATTCTCAGCGCGATAGTTTTTCGCGCTGTGGTCAAGGTGATGGATCCTTGACGAATCGAACAATCGTGTTCGATAACGATCACTCGTCGTCGCTGACAAGTGATCCATGACAGATTTGGGAGGCATTCATGCCTTCTTCTCGGGAGCGAGACGCAAGACATTGCGATCCCGCTCTTCCTGCGATGTGCCGACAGAAGGACTGGCACCTCGTTGCGAAGTGGTGTCCATAGGAGAACCGACACCACTGTTAGCGCCCGAGTCTCGCGACCTCGAGCGCCTTCGCTTCGGCGATGGTTCATCTGACTCATCAGATGAACCAAAGATGCTACGACGTATAGCATCGTCCATGCCACGCTTGGTAGGCGGCTTGGATTCGATCGCCGTCGATACGGATCCGTCCTCCGTATCAGGAGAGTACGAGACACCGAGCTCGTACTCTGTGAAGACATGAGTGCCTTCATGACCAGCGCCTGCATCACCAGGTGATACAGGCTGGGTCGATTCAGCAACCGATGGGATATCAGTTGCTGTGGTTTCTGCTTCGGCGTCCGCACAGAGACGTGCGGACGCGCTCTCGGCGGCCTTGCTCGCGCATCGCATGGGCTTGTCAACCATGCGATGAGATTGTTGGAAAGTGGACGCGGACCAACAAGTGCAAACCCCGTCCCAAATGATTGGGGACGAGTATCCATTTAGTCAATCAGTCACTAAAGTGACTGATGGTTAAGGGGGGTGATGTAATGGGGTGAATCGTTGCATAACAATTTATAAGAAATTGTTAATAGAATATAACTATAAGAGTTATATTCTCAGAATATTGTCATAAGGACAAATATTCTGCAGCACTTACAAGTAGTTCCTAATTGGTTGATATAGGCCATTATATCAACCAACGAAGACGCGCCACGACAGACGTACGCAATGAGTGGTGAGCAGATAACTCGATATTGCACATTTGTGTTTAGACATAGTTAGATGAAGATAAATAGTGATTTATTGCAGACATTAACTATTATAAATACAGTTCTACTTTTTACTCTAACCGAGTACTCGCTTCTTCTTACCGTCTTCCTCTGCACGTACGAGTGTACGTGAAGTTACGAGGCACCGCCTTATTCTGTTATCAGAATAAGTAGCTTGTACTGTCACCAGTACAAGCTTCAGGGTGCCCCGTTACATGATGAGTACAAGGTACCACTTATTGGACCTTTAAGGTGCTGGCGGAGGCTAAGTAGGGTCACCTGGTGGCTAAAGCGTCTGCAGCGGGACCGCTGCTCATCGAGGGAGGGGTGCACACTTCCAAGTTATACATTACGTTATTCGTTTCTAATATTCGGTGCTGATCTGGAAATGGTCAAAAACTAATAGAATTGCGGATCTTGTCTTTAATGTGATTGTTCCCCATTCGACATTACGTACAATGATCAAATTCTGGCTTAAAGTCACGATTATTACTGGATTCTGTCATGTCATTCGTATAGTATACATCTAGATACAATGATTAATTTTCGTCATCTTGCGGTACATTTGCGCTTTGCAATCGTGTGAAGTAGATTGTTTTAAATATGGTATTTTTTGTTCCTTTTCCACATTTTTTGTGATGATACCTTGTGTCTTCTGGCTAATAACTTCATCCCGACACCCATAAGCAATACCGAATCTTAAGTAATGACTCGCCTCCTTCTAGTGCCCGATGTTTTGTGTTTACTTCTCCAGGTCATCGTCCGCAAAGAGTGTCTAGCCTTTTTAACCTCAACACTACCTTTCAAACCCTTGATGAAGCTGGCGTTTTCGTCGTCACCTCCGTTGGTAAGCAAAGTTGGCTTTTAGCACGTTTTTTGCGTGTAGCTGCACTGATGAACAAATTGTTAAAGAGTAATTGGCTCATTGAACCTGTGACGTTTGCAGCGTAGTCTATCCGATTATATAAATTAATCATTCGGATAATAGACTAGCATGAACAATCTAGCAAATGTCTAGCTTTATGTACTGTAAAATTCGCTCAGCAATATTGTTTTAAGCGATCTCGCCACTTTTCATGCTCTATTGTAATTTTGGAAAAAGGTAAGTAAAAATTCTTATTTTTGCAAGATGGTATTTTAGCACAAGAATCTATTTAAAATATATTTACCAGCGCCCAAAAAAAAGTATATAAACGATGGTTTTGTCGATAGCGTACTCGTGAATGGTGCCTTTTTGGCATACGTGACCATCAATTTGTACAAATATGCAAGTGAATGCAGTCCGTATTCAAGGTTCGTTTGACCACAGCAGCCGTCGAAAAAGGTAGTTGAAGGCACATGTAATGACCACTCGTAAAAAGATGCCACCCAGCTGTTTGCGTGGACCATCACGATTAGACATAATGAGATCTTAATCATTGCGATGGTCTATGCAACTCAGCGTGACGCTCCGCTTCACTTGCTGGACGAGGCACATCGAACCCGCTTCTCAATCGTTGTCCGAAGCCCCACCCTGGCTCCATTTTCATACACGATATATCGAGCGGGCTTCGGGAAGGCGCACAGGAAGAAGTAGAACTAAGTAAACAAGGAGCTCGAGAGGATCATGTGACGCTCCTATTCCGACGTGTAGTATTCGCTCATGATTGAGATAGCGCCCCAAGCTTCCTCATGTCGTAACTGACACCCACCCAAAGCCTAAGGAGACCTTATGTGTGCTGGGCTATTTTACATTGCATTTGTGAATTTCTTCCCTCCCACTACCTTGCGTAAAATTCACGGCTAACTGATCCTACGTAAAACAATTGACTGAAAGAACACACGATCTTAATAACTTGCTTCGTTTTAAGGCGGTAAAGCACGGGTCCAATATTCAGGGACAAGAAGAACTTAGAACACACAGCACACAGCCAACGAGCGCAACAACTTCTTGTGGCATGCTAGTTTGCTGTCCTCGTCTTGTGGCATTGCGATGGAGTGTCTACGTGCTGTCTTTGTCTGCAGGATAGGGCCTTCCCATGTCCCGACCAGATTCTGCCGACCGTCCATCGTCAGTGGTCAAAGCTTTACGGATCAGTATGACACATAGCAGCGATGAGGGGAGATTCGTACGCTAGATAGTTACAGGAAGCGTCAACAGGATATAAGAGTCAACACGAGTGGAGTCCTGTAGATTTGGTCACTTTACTTTGGCATCTGCTTCCTTTCGGACCTACTCTCTCAGACAAGTCCATCTAGCTCTCGCTGCGTAGCGGAACTGCATACTATGATTACCTGGCGATACGAATCCATGAGCGATACTTGGTGGCAGCATTCTCGCTGTGAACTCGTCTACTGCCTGCACACTAAATTGACATCCATGTGAGCTGCTGTGACGGCGGTGCGTGGCAGTTTGTGACAGTCTACAATAGCGTCTTTCTTTACACTGACGATGCCTTACCAAGATTCGGAGAAGCTCTTGCAGTTGACTAATGTCCGGCTCACCGCCGTCGCTTGATCACGTGAAGAATAGGATGCAGGGGGTAAATTGAGCAAGCGGTGGCTGGATTGGAATGATACATTGGTGCTAGAACAACGTTGTGCTAGTCTGCGTAGTATCAAGTTTTTCTAGCAACTGTTCCCAATCTCCACTATCGGAACGTTGTCAGGCAATGACGGACTACCTGGACTTCTTGTAGCCAGCGCTAGATGAAGCGCCTCGATGTCCTTGAATCTTGTCATGTAATGACACGTCTACTATGACTCCAGCTATACGTACAGTATACTTCTGGCTCTGCAACAGGAGCTCTATCGGTCTGACGTCCTGCACCACTTCTGCGCTGAAGTATCAGCATGACACCGGGGCAGCGCAGCATAGTTGTTACCGCTATATGTCATCAGCAGAAGCTAATGACGTGCAATGCCCTGCACGCCTCCACGGTCTTGCTTTAGCACATTCGACGTCTGCATTCTTCTGTACACGTATCTTCACTTGAATATGCTGATGCACAACATGTAACGAGTAGGCGACCATTCCCATAGCTCCTCTGCTCCGTCAGTCTTTGCGTCTCGTCCACTGCTACATGTAAAAGCTCCACGCCGAATGAATCTCGATTGACCGCCTGTTTTCGTCCGTGTATCCTCGAGGCAGACGATAGTATCTGTTGAAAGCGAGTAGAAATTTCCAAGCTGGACCATCCTTTGCACCGACTCTGAGTTGAGATTCGTCACGAGGCAGCTGCGAAGCGTAGACGTCTGGTGGGGGCCAAGAGGTCAGATCTCACCAAAAGACAGTGCGGCGTCGATGTAAACTGGCTACGAACTGATCGAGTTGCAATCTGTTGTTGCACACAAGTAGTCGCATCACTGTGTCTTTCTCGTCACTCCGTTTGAGCGTGAACTGGCCGTTAAGACCATGTCAAGCAAGTACTATGCACGTGTGACGGGCAATAGACCCACTCGTATCAACTTTCCAACAACTTCTTCTCCGCCGTCGCCTATCGATCGTGTACACACCAAGCTCCATAAACAGTGTCATCGAATGCACCGATGCCTCGCGAGATTCTAACGATGGCGAAGTCAGTCTTTTTCCCTCGTTTTCTCACAGGTTACAAATCGAGCCAACCTGGTCTCCGATCCGATGTGGTCTTCCCACTTTCGACGGCACTGGCTACAGCCAGCGCAATGCAGCACGGGTCGAGCCTTTTTACCAGCCGAATCCAGGCGAGCAGCTCCATCCAATGTCCTTCCATCTCGACCTGATGACGGTGAGAAACTCCGTCACGTGGGACTTGTCCCCATTTCGGGTTTCGCCCTGACTCCTGCACGTCAACTGGCCTGCCTCCAATGTCGTGGCTCCAAAAGCTAGTAGGAAGACAACCGCCTTCCAGCGCAAATGACCGCTTTGCCCTACCAGAGCCAACGTGGCAGCAACGACTAGAGCACTATGCACCCATTTTCCGCTGGCTGCCCGAGTACAGCCTCGAGCGGGATTTCAAGTTCGACCTCGTGGCTGGGATCACGGTCGCCATGATGCTCATTCCTCAGGAGGTCTCACTAGCGACGATCATGCACGTTCCTGCTCATTACGGACTCCACACGGCCGCTATTTCTCCCATCGTCTACGCCATCTTTGGCTCGAGTACGGTGCTCTCGGTCGCCAGTGGCTCCGAAGTCTCGCTGCTCGTTGGCTCGGTCCTTGAAAGCGTTGAAGATCCGGACGAACGGATCGCGACCGTGATCTTCATGTCCTTCCTCTGTGGCAGCATCTTGCTCCTGATCCGGATTTTCAACCTCAGTCAGATCGCCGACTTCTTTTCCCGTCCCGTCATGGGCGGCTTCATCTCAGCTGGAGGTCTGCTCATTATGCTCTCGCAGGTCTGTAATGCTCTCGGTATCGACGTCAAGTCTTCCGAGTACCCGCCAATTAAGGTGTACGAACTCTTGAGAAACGTGCAGCATACCAACTTGAACGCCTTCGCTGTTGCTGCGATCTCGTGTATCTATTTGATCGCACTGAAGATGGTCAAGCGACGGTGTTTTCCGTCTCCTGTGGCCATGCAGCTTTTCAATACTGACACCTCCCACGTGAAGGAACCAGGCAAAGGGGAAGAGGAAGAGCGGTTTTTAGCACCTGTGACGAATTCCGGCCAAGGGTTTTCCCTCTCGGACTTGTCGTATACGGCCAACCAGACACTACCTACGCCCATTGAAGAGCGGGAGTCGATGGCTGATGGCGGGAAGCGTGAAGGGATTGTCGAGCAGCCGCAATCCAGAATACGTGAGCTCGCTCGGTTCCTGTTGCGAATGCTCTGTGACCTTGGTCCATTCGTCGTCTGCATCTTTGGAGGCATTTTCGGCTACGTACTGGGCCCCTCGCGCATAATCTTGACAGGTCCTATCTCGGGCGGGTTCCCTGGTTTCAAGGTGCCATGGTACGGCTTCAATACCGATCTCATTGACCGGGATCGCTTAGGCACGATCTTCTACAACTCCGTCACAGTGTCTATTGTTGTGTTCCTGTCGAGTATCTCCATGTCCAAGCGCTTGGCTATTCAGCGTGGAGAGGACGTTATCACGGAGCAGGAACTGACTGGTATTGGGATCTCCAGTGTCATATGCGGATTCTTCCAGGGTGTACCCCCAACCGGTGGTATGTCTCGCACTGCGGTGAACATGCAGAATGCTCGCACTCAGGTGGCCTCGGTCATCACGTGTCTACTGGTGATCCTTGCGCTCTACACTTTGACCGATATGCTGTACTACCTACCTAGTGCCACATTGGCATCAATTATTATCGTAGCTGGCTGGACGCTGGTCGAGTTTCGGGAGGCCAAGTGGTTGTACCGAGTAAAGCGTGACGACTTTTATGTGTGGGCGTCCTCGTTCTCCATGACGTTGGGTCTCGGTGTGCTCAACGGCTTGGTCGCCTCCATCGTTTGCTCCATCTTGGCTCTCATGTGGAAGTCAAAGGTGCAGCCCATTGCTATTCTGGGTGAGCTGGACAATGGCAGCTACGTTGACCGACAGGTTTTTCCAGATGCAAAGCACCTGGGCGACATCATTGCCATTCGAGTGGAAGGCTCGCTCTACTTTGCCAACTGTGAACGAGTGACGCAATACATTGAGCGCGAGATGATGCGTTTGCACACGCTCGGGGTCACGACGCGTGGGGTTGTGCTGGACATGTTCCACATGAACGACATGGATGCGACGACGATTCAGGTGCTGTCGGATGTCCAAGAGAAGCTCGCGGTGCGCAAAGTGCGCTTTGCACTGGCCAATGCCAAAAGTCGTTTGCGTGATCTGCTGGCAGCGACGAACGTGCTAAAGCGCATTCTAGCCAACGACCCGTCGATTTCGTTGGAGGAAGCGGTACTGATGCTGCGTGAGCTGCCGTCTCTAGCAGCTAAATCCACTTCGGTTCGGCCGGTTGTCTTGATGTCCAGTAACCCGGTGTGAAGGACAAGTGTGACAGCGAGCGAGCGATGTGTAAAGTTAAGATAGACGAGGGTACAGGAAGGAGGGATGGTGCGAGATGTACATCCTCCACCGGTGCAGCCACGCGGTGGCGTCGGTCAAATTGTGAATTAATGGTCAAGCAATTCTATAGCGAGAGTAATTCCATGTGGTGCTTCGTGCAGACTTACGCCACCTAAAGCATACGCATGAATCCTGCCATGCAGAGCTACTATAGCATCAAAGCATGCACATTGGTTGGTTTGATTGCCTATTGTTTTACTGACCTAGCAGTGTTCATAAATGCACTAGTAGACGATGAAGTGGGTTGATGATGTACTACGATGCACTTGCAGTGCAGTACATGCAGCAACTACCACCAGCTTAAACGTCCATCAATGAGGTTACAGATCGATGGGTACTATTGTAGGTCGGACTCGACTTGCCCTTGAGCTTATCCTTCACAACATGCACCACCTCTTTGGCACGATCGACAATGGTGAATGACATCAACGCTGTCTCGGCAGCACTGGCTTGGTAGCTCAAGTCGTTGAGGTTGAAGTTGTGACGGAGCGTCGTCCTCACGAGCATTTCGACAGTGTCGTCGGAGTGCTGAAAAGTGTCATTACCACTGCAGTATCCTGCCGGGTTGTCCCTCTCGTCACATTGATCACCTTTGTCACCTTTGTGATCCGCAGCCACGGCGTCTGCACCTTTGACTCTTCTCAACTGATGCTCAGCTTTTGTATCGTAGTTGTGTGCCGTCACAACCAAGAGGTCCATCGACTTTGCCGTGCTATTCATCATGCTGTAAGCAGCTTTCACGTCCGTTTTCGAAGGTTTGTAGTGGTTCTTGTGTATCTGCTGGGCCACACTCCTCAGCTCCGCTGACGTGGACTTGGCCTTTCGCATGTCACTTTGCATGAACGCTTTGGCTCCGGTTAGAAGGTGGTTGTGATGGAGACGATCAAACTCGGACAATTTGGTCTTCAGAGCTTTCAGACACTTGGCCGCATCGTCCGCAGTGAGCATAAGCACTTTCGCCAATGAGGCGAATTCCTCGCCTATGGTCAAGCTGCGGTACCTGGATTTGCCCATAGTGGAAGGTCGGTCGACTGGAGCTTTTGTGCTTTTCAGAGATCACAAATCAATTTGGTTGACGAAAGGAATTGTGGGCAAAGTCTGCGATGCGAAATGTTGGATGTTCATCTTGGATAATGGCTGCGTTCGAGTGAGCTCTCGCGTAAGTATAGCGACCTCCTGGCAAAGAGGGCAGAAGAGCATGTCGCACTGTCATGTCGGCTGTTGGAGTGTTCGAATCATCGTGGTGCGATATGAAAAGAGCAGTTCGTGCAAGTCTTAGTTGGCGCTACAGATATGAGGACAGTAGCGAACTGGTTGGTTGTGCGTCCGAGTTGGATCTCGTCATGATCGAGACATGCACCTACAAGCCTCCAAGCGTCGCTTTCAGCCTTTCACCCATCATTTCAGGAACTATTCTTACGTAACGGCCTCAATCCACGAGAAATGCCGCCAACCTTTACTCATTCGCCATCGTAAGAACCAAACCCAAAGTCTCCTCTTGACAAAAGCTTTCTCTCAGCATGGAGGAAGCTAGTGATCCCAGTCCTGCAACGAAACAAGAGTTCTCGAAGCTCAAGATCTTGCTAGTCATGGCGGCAAACAGCATCACGCAATGTCTCAAGACGTTAAAGAGGGACCTTGGCAAGTACGACCGACGTCATGGAGCGTACTTTCGCCAGTCGTCCCATTTCTTTCTACGAAGCGATATTCGCGTCGCAAAAGGTATTGCTAGGGACTTGCGGTATGTGGCGAAACGGATCAGCACAAGCAAAAGCCCCACCATGTCCGAGGTAAATGCCGCTCGCACCAGTACGAACGCAGCTATTGACGCCATGAATGATTTGAAACAATCGGGTCGAATCTACGACCAGAACCAAGTCCGTGATAGCTCGGGTAGTCTGACGAGCATCATTGACGATATCATGGGAGTCAACGGTAGCAAACCGATGAAAGGTGGCGAACAAGTACTCGAAAGAAGTGACGATGAGCGGAAGATGAACAAGTCGAAACGAGGCCTTTTCGGACACAAGGGCATTGGCAGGGACATCTTCAAGGCAGCTGACACGGTGGAAGCGGTGATGGCATCGGCTTTGCACGAAAGTCTCAGCGGGTTTTCTGCTTTGAAAGAGCAGATTGCAGCGACAGAAAAGGTCGTGTTGCCGTCGTTCGCGACTCGTGCAAAGGAGGCGGTTGTTAGTATTGTGAGCAAATTAGCGGGCGACGTTTAAACTGCGCGACGCAGCGTGTCCGAGAATGTGTTTGCGATGTCATGTTGCATGCTATTCGATTTTGCACCAAGGCTCAAGACTTTTCGAGCCTTGAACAGTCGAAGACACATCGTGAATAATGATAGCAATTCACGGATTGTCGTTTGCATAACCATACCATTCACTATGAACGGCCACTTCCTTGTCGAACGCCATCAGATTCACAGTTGACATTGAAATGAGTGCCGCCGGCAGTACTGCCACTTCTTCTTTGGCCAGGAGAAAGAAGACAAGTTTGATGGCACTACGCATCGGCACTGACAGTCTTGTACGCGCCGATGGATACTTTCACGCGACACTCGCACCTCCGAATGCCTATTCAATCCTTGATAGTACAAGATGAACTCGCCTCGTGACTCCCGACTGCTTGCAAAATGCCCTTTTCAATAGCGCCCGTCTTGCGAAGCCGTACGCTACGACTTTCAGTTGAACAGAGACTGTGCCTTGAGCTATCTCTGGAACGGCGCGCACCAGTGTGTACTAACTGCATGTTTGAGCCTCATCGTTCGGACGATAGATAGCCTTATCCTTGAGTGTACAACGCGATAGAATACTCGTGTTTCATGACACTGTGTTTGTCACACTCCATCCACTTTGGATCGACTGTTTGCCGAATACGATGCTACCCGCTTGTGATTTACGGACGCATACATAGCAGCTCATACTGCACAGCTCCAACCGTCTTACTACATTTGCTTCAGACGGCGACATTGGGAGTACAACTAACAACGAAGTGTTCTCCGACTTGTGGTGATGGATGAACTAAGGCCACAAACATACCACAGGCTCCTAGTAGTTGCAGCGCATACTACGATCGCTGGTGTCTCACACTTTCATTGTTTTTGACATGCCCATGCATTTGCCGTCGCATGGCCTTCGATAAGGACTTCACAGCGTACACTGGCAAAGAGTTCTGCAGACAGTTCTAACGCTGGATTCCTCATTAGTCCGAATGGTCGTCGTTTGATGAGAGATATCGATTGTGTTCACGTCATTGCCGAAGATAATGTAAGGCCGATGCATGTTGTCGTCGATAGCTGCATCACATGCATTTTGTCTGGCACAATTACTCTTTCAGTAATGTCGTGAGCTCTGCTCTTAATCCAGTACAAATGAGGGTCTGTATGAAGCACAGTTTCAAGAATCAGAAACCATGCAAGAGCAGACGAGGCAATATCAGCAGCACACCTAATTGAGAGACAGAGATACCATGACGTGGTAATGTCGAAAACTGGCAGCTGAATGGACAAAACGAGAGAGAGAAAAGCAGCGGTGTGAAAGATGCCCGTTTTTTACCACAGTAAGTACGGGCTTGATTCCGAAAAGTACACGATCCAAAAGCGTCCTCGAGGGGACTCGAACCCCCAATCCCCGCCTTCGGAGGGCGATGCCTTATCCATTAGGCCACGCGGACGATGCAATTTAGAGAGGCCACTAAATGTATATAAACTATTAAAGCAACTAGCTGCAGCACTATCTGCATTTGCATCTGCGGTTTTATCAATTTTATTGCTTACACGCGTTTACTGCACCAGGTTTAAACATCTACGGCTTACTAGTAATACGGCACCTCTGAACCAAAAGTCAATAGGCAGCAGCAGCACCACCTGCTACCAAATACAAGCGCTCGTGCTCTCACGAGTCATCAGTCTTTTATCCGTTTTTACGTCAAACTCCCTGACTTGCTCCTGCTTGCTGACTTGAAACGCACAGTACGCACCGAAAATAGTCCAAGTAAAGGTCAACTGATAGGACATCGACGATTCACAAGTTCGCGGATGTCAAATGTTGGTGGCCGACGGCCAAGACCAAGAGGTTCATTACTAGTAAAGTGCAGCATATCTTCTATTTGTTATTGATACACGTCGAAATGGTCCAATCCCACTGACGGATGAAGGGGCTTTGCGATCATTGAGCAGGATAGCGTCTGCAGCGAGGCAAAGGGGAAAGACCTTCTCAATTCCTTATAATGAACCCCTGACCTTGTGCCACGGAAGTTGCAACGCCGTTAATAAGTCCATCGGCGGATGTCCAGCTTCCACCAGCTGCTGCAGGGAAAGGCTTTCCTCGCTCGTAGATAGACACGTAAAGTCGGGATATTGCTGCTCAATTCTAGCGATCGACTCGTTCAGTTGCTGTTCCCGCAACGTTGTCAACGTCTTCGCCATCCCAAGCGTCACGATCGTCCTGACTGTGCGCTCGCGTACTTGACTCACTGCCAAGTAGAACTCCAGTCCATCGAAAAAGAGATGGCTCGGTGCTGTGGTCGTGGCAGGTGCAACCTCTTCTGCCAATTGCTCGTCTCCCTCTTCACTGTCGTCTTCATCCCAAGACGAGTCGCTCATTTCTTCTTCCGGCGCTTCGTCGTCGCTCCAGGTCGAAAGTCCTGGAAATTCCCCTTGGTGGCGACTATTCAAGAGCTCTGCGTTCTTCTCATCGGCTCGAAGCCGCGTGTTCCTCGCACCCACTCGGGTCATGCAGAACAACTGATGGTCTAGCTGGTTCACCATGAGCACAGGCACTTCTGTCGTCAAGCGATACGCGACGTCGAGCACAAGTTGTAAAATGGCCCCAATACCCTGTAAAGCACGGTCGCCTGTCGGACGAAAGGTACGGGATTTGCTCGTGGCGACTGTATCGAGTGTCCCAGCCGTTTCGGCTTGCAGTTTCACCCGTAAAGAGTCGCTCGAGCACACGTGCGTGTCCCCTTTGCGGTGCTTTTGGAGCCTTCTGCGTTTCTCGCCTGATCGTAAACTGCTCGAAAGCACGAGGCAGACGACGCTGAGCAGTAGCACTGGAGCCAACGGGACAAGAACCACCAATGTCGTCATCTAGAGTCGAGAAGGAAAGTGTTACATATCGTACAAGTCGTGCCTTGACACGGACACGAACGTCCAGTGTCCTGAAAGGGCCGGACGAGTGCTACTGCAGGAGTGAGTGGGGGGTATCCGACGCCGTTTCGAGATCGTCCGGCGAGGCTTTAAAATCCCAAAGTTTCGGAACCGTCTTGACTTGCTTTCAGTATACTTTTCAGAAAAAGCGTCAGTGGTCGGAACCAAATGACGCCAAATCAAGCACGGACCACATCTCTCCCCGATGCTTTTTCGAACGCTCTGGCTGGACGTGTGCAGTCTGTGCTTGAAGCTCATGGATGGAAGCTCTTGGGTGCGGTACTACTCTTCTACGTGGGCATGAAGCGGTACAGAGAATGGGCGGCGCGGCGCCGCCACCGACAAATTCTTGCAGCTGCTAACGGTGGGTCCATCCTGTCTCGGGTCTTTGTTTCTCCACCTTTTTAGCATCGAGTTCGTAGCATTGGGGCGAACGTCCCTCGAGTTCTCGATGACCGGGTCGACGTCCGGGCGGGCGTGGGGTGGAACGAGTCCGTTCGACTCGAACGCTACAGCGTTTCGATCGGTTTCGTTACTCACGTGTACTTTCGCTGACTGGTTGTGAGATGTTTGCATCATTTTGGAGCAGACCCGGCGCGCGTGGCTGCCCTCGAGCGCGCAGCGGCGCTCGTTCGCGGTAAACAGCAGCAGGAGTTTCAGGCCCAGTCGATGCAAGCGAAGAGGAAGAAGAGGTAAAGCAGAAACGGCATTGCAAAGGGGGGCTAATGGTGGTGGAACGGCGTAGTGAGTGGACAGGGGACGCGGGATTCCCAAGTCGAGAAATGATGCACGTAACATCGATCGTGGCTCTATGTTTGTAAATCCATAGCACTTGGGGGAAGACACCTGCATGCCTTGCAGCTCGAAAGATGTTACTGGTATTGCTGTTGTTACGACTTTCCACCGCGTGGATGAGATAGCGCGTCAGTCAGTTACCCGAACAGCCGACACAGGACCTCTGGGTTCAGCTTACAGTCAAGAAGGAGACGGGATATCGGACGCACGTTTGCGTCCAATCTGTCAAAGCACCTGGCGGGAAGCGACAGGCAGGTCCTGGTAAACCAAGCAAGGCCAGCTGCTCAGTCTTCGCGACACAGCACAGGTACCGCGCCACTGTCGCCACACTCGCAGTGGAAATTCAGCGCTATCTTCTCGTCTAGTCGGTAATAGTCCTCCACCGACTTGTGCGACTTGACGTCCAAATCCACGATCGCCACGACGCAGTCGAATGCCAAATTGCGAAAGCGCACGTGGTGCTCAAACTCCATTAGATGCTGGAAACGGGGCAAACGTGACTTTTCCGCTGGAGAGTCATCGGCTCGGTCTACATCGTCACCTGGTGACCGCCGCAAGCACAAAAGTAGCGAGCAGTCCTTTAATGTCGTGGCGACCTGGAACCGCTTCTCCAGCTCCGTGTACAAATCACGATACTGCTCAAGACGCAATGTCTCCCATGACGTCACATTTTCTAGCACACCCAGCTCGGGTACACGTTTGAGTGCAACACGCAGAAACGCCAACCCACGTGCAAGGCTTCCTTCCTGATCAACATCCTCGTCAGTAGAAGAATCACGTCGATGTCGTATTGCAGCTACCAGTTGACCTAATGTTGCATCCTCGGACGAAGTCGCTTGCTCACGTTTATTCTCCTCGTCAAGTCTCCGCAGCAATAGCTGGAGATTCCACACACCATCTACTGAAATGTGGTCAAGCAATTGCATCTGCTTGAGATCGTCTAATATGGCCAGGTCCTGCAAAACCTGTGTGATCAGCTCGACCACTTCAGGCATCAGTTGCGCGTGATCACGCTCATGGTCCAACGCTTCATCGAAAGCCACGTCGTACTCAGCGCCGATGGACTGGCAAGAGTGGCGGAAACCCATTTGCTTTCGTTGACAAAATGAGTACCGCGACTGCGCTGCACCTTTAGGGAGCGCATCAGCATTCAACCCTGTGATGACATTCACCACCTCATCTTCCGCTGAGCGCACAAACACCTTAAAGTTATTCTGAGGGGTCCGTTGCAACGCTCGCAACGCTCGTCGCTTCCTGCTCGAATCCTTCGAGAATAAATCCAAGGGGCAATACCGGCTGATCTCTTCCACTTTCCCAGCGCGCTTCTTGTAGTACTGGTGCATGCAAAAGCGACACACACGTGTCTTCATTGAACCCACCAGTTGACATTTCGGTTTGAACCCAATCTTGGGCTTCAGCTCGACGCAAATGTTGCGAAAGCAGCAATCAAAGACGTTTCCAGCACGAAATGATGTGCCGTGGGCACTATTGAGAGACCGTGGCCCACTCCCGCACTCCAGACTGCCGACGTCGTTCGATGCAGAGGTCAGCATCCCGGTTTGCACCACTTCTGTCCCGTCATGATCTTCTTGGTCCAACCTGCTGCTCCTACATGTGCTGCTGCAACCACCTTCCTTCGCTCGATTCCTCCTCACCTCATCTTCCTCCACATTCGAGCATTCTTCGTCTTCAATCTCCTGATCCGACATGAATTCCCACTGTTCCTCTTCGTCCGACACTTGATACTCTTCCTGTCCACCTGCACCACGTGCTTCAGCTTCAATTAAACTCCTCGTAGATTGGAAGATATGAGGCATCGAATCGTCATGAGGCGGGGGCAACGTCACGTCCGGGAGCACCATCACACACTCCAGCGAGACGTCCACTTGACTCTGTCGTCGATGCGCCGGTCGATGCTCCAGAGCTAGCAATTGGACGTTTAGTGCCTGTAAGAAACTGCGGTCGACCGTCACGAGCTCGGCCACCTGAAGGTACGAATTGGCTCTAGAAGTTGAGGCCACGCGGCTTGGGTCGCGACTCTGCAGTTGCTGCTTCAGGAACGGCATAATCTCGTGGGTTGCATAGTCCAGCACCTGTCGGGGGTGGGGGTAATGGGGTACATAAGGCTTTTCACTATGGCATGCAACTGCTCTTGTCTTTGCATCGAGGTCGGGTAGCTGGTTACTCTTGTGAGGGTTACTCTTGTGGGGGTTACTTTTTGGCTGCACCACGTCACACTTCTTCACACGCAGTAACTTGCCCTTAAACTCCTTTGCAATAGCACGAGACGCCGACGATTTGCTGGTTGGTCGATGACGGAACAACACGTTGGCGCCTCCTTCTGCGACGTACTTCCACTCGGAGGCTTGGAGGTGCACGCGTCGCTGAGGAGGATCCAATGCCGCGACTAGAGACGAGGCTGGCGGCTTCAAGAGGAACATGGCGTCAGAGGACGCCGATTACAAAGTGAGGAAAACGGACGCGAGTGGTCGGAGAGGCGTAAATCAGGGTGAGCAGTCTTGTAATTGCATGGTTTTAGTGGAATTAGAGAGAGAGTTATAAGCGAGCTAGATGCGGGTAATAACGACATCTTTGTGTCTTCTCAAGGAGGGTTTTAAGGCAAATACCCTGTTTTGTAGAACCTTCGCCACCGTGGAATTAGCGAGTGGCTACGAACTACATTTGTGCAACTTGTTAACTGTTGTTCGTTTCAGTTATCGCTCGGCCAGCGAGTGGCTTTAGCATCTACAGCTATTTTAAATTTCATCACTTGATCAACAAGTTAATTACCAATACTTGTAACAACCAAGTAACTAACCTGCCGCGAGGTAAATAGATGCCAACAGAGGCAGAAAATAGTTTACTTCCGTGTAACGATCTAGCCCCGTTTAACGTGATAAAGTGCAGTCTCCAGCTACTGTTCCCACTTCCAAATTCCGGTCATTTTTGTCAATCGCTCACTTTGAAGTGCACTATCTCCCGTCCTCCTACATCTGATTTGCTCTAAAACTAAAGCGTCACTTGTAGCACTATCTTACGCAATGCAGACAGTAGCGGACGAAGGCAATCGCGTATTAAAGAAGCAGAGGATCTGTGTGTCACAGATTGAGCGCCACCTCGACGAGCTCCTGACACATGTCGAAAGGACCAAGCAGCAGCTCGAAGAGCGGCAGAAAGAGCTTTGTCGCAAGAAGAACCGCCGAGCGTTGAATGCGAGTGTTACAGATACCGAAGGATATCGAGATGTTAAGACCAAAGGATTGAGACAAGTTTCGGACAGTGTTGGAGCCGAGTTGCCGTGTAATTCGGAGAAGTCCGAGGTCGAGTCGAAGGATGTGGAAGTTAAGAAGCAGGACAATGAAGTGGAGTTCATTATTACGAACTTTATAGAGCGGGCACAACATCTGAAATCTGAAAAGCACATTGCGAGTGAGCTGAAGTTGATGCACGCGTTGCTGTCCAAGTATTCAAAGCACATTGACAAGGTGAATGGAGTAATGATAACCGTCCAGCGAGAGTTGAGACTAATCGGTGCATGTGTTCTCGATGTAGAATCTTTGTACAGATATTGCCAAGGTATGCCGCACGAATGAGATCGACCAGAAACTTGTCTGTCGTTTTGTGGCAGAATATCTGTATCAAGACGGACAGATGAAGGCGGCGGATGCTTTGTGCAAGGTAAGTTTGGACAATTGTTGTCAGTGTTTTTTTGGCATCGTTTGACAGGACTGCTTGCTTTTGAAATATGTAGGAGGCAGAACTCAAACTGCTACCAACGTATAGGGACTGTTTTGTCGAGTTACACCGGATCTTAAAAGCAATACAGATGCGTGATGTGCAGCCGGCACTCGAGTACGCTTTTGCTGTCTGCGAATCATTCTGCTTGATAATAGTCTAACATGCAGTGTGTAATGGTGCTTTAGTTGGGCGCGGAACAACCGTAAGGAATTACGGCTGATGGACGTTGATATCGAGTTCCAATTGGTTCGACTCAAGTACGTGGACATTCTCGAGTCCTCGCTGGACATGATGGATGCAGTTAGCTTCGCTAAAAAAGAACTAGCATCTTTTCATCAGACGCATGCCGAAGGTAAGCCGAAACTCGCCTGATTGCTCTGTCATACCGGTTTCGTTGATGACATCCGCGTTGTTGCTATTTAGAGGTGGGCGTGTTGATGAGCTGCATGCTTTACAAAGGGAGACTCGAAGAATCACCGTACCGGAATCATTTTAGTGATAATCGCTGGAAGGAAATTTACGACGCTGTGATCCGGGCATGTTGTCGCCTTCGTCGAGTTCCGTACCGGTCATATCTCGAAACATGGTACGTGCTTTGGTCATGATGGAATGTTCGAAATCTAAGTGTAAGCATGTAGCTTGTCAGCCGGTATACCCGCGCTGCGTTCGATGCGAAAGCTAGCGTCTGTCATGGATAGTAAGCTCGCGGACTGGGACAGTATGGAGGAACTTCCTGTAAGTGGGGCGAGATGGACGGGCGCTATCTTTGCTTTGTGGGAGAAAATTCGTTATTGACGTGCTACCTTGTCCAAACTCAGGTGGAGATCCCTATTGCAAAAGAGCTTCGGTTTCACAATGTGTTCTCGTGTCCCGTGTCGAAGGAAGAAAGCACTCCCGAGAACCCGCCAATGCTGCTGAAATGTGGTCACGTGATCTGCCGTTCGTGTGTCAATCGGTTTTCCTTCCAAAAGACTCGGTTCGTGTTGACGCGGTAGGAGTACGATCATGTCATGATTTGTTGGACCTAACACCGTTTGTGTAAATGGTGTTTGTCAACTATGTGTTTGATCGCACCCACAGACGATTCAAGTGTCCCACTTGCCCCGTTGAACAAACAGAAAGTGAAACGCGCGAGCTTTTCTTCTAAGACCATGTCACTGGCGAATGAGTGAAATACGCAAAGGCGTGTTTGCCCAAGAACTGCAATCAACACCGGCTCCCGTCAGTTTCTGTATTGTTACCAGCGTTCTTTAAGTTGAAAGCGCTTCTCGAATTCGTCCATATCCGACATGCTACCCATCGTCATCCTCTTGCTTCGTTTGCTGCTGCTACTGGGCCTTGTCTGCTTGGTTCTAGATCCTTGTTTGTGAGTGTTCTCAGGACGTCCGAGACTTGCAAATTGTGTGCGATGAAATGCAGCATATGGCGTCGATGCGTCTATTTCCGGTGGACGTGCTTGCACGTTATTCTGCTGCTGACTTCGCTTCCGCCGAAGCATTTCCAGCTCTTTTTTCAGCTGTTGAATTTGCTGTGTCATGTCAAGCATTTTGTCTTGCAGCGTCGTCAAGTCACTCTGTTGATCCGTGACTAAACTCGTCATTGCGTTGATAACATTGCTGACGTCTCGTTCGTGTCGAGACTGGTGCTGTTTGTTCTTGTAGAGATGCCGGCGCACAAACAGGAGCGAGTCCTGGTCCAAAAGGGGCAATTGGCTTCCAGACAGGAGCTGTGGAGGGTCCACAGAGCTTGAGACTGAAGACTGAGAGGAGCAACTGATGATCTGAGGCTGCACGAAGAGCTCGCCCTCGACGGACTTTTGCTTGCATTTCACGTGCGTCTTCGTCTTCTTGTGCGTCTTCCAGCGACTCAGTGAATGAGAGGTCGTTGGTAACGTCGTGTTACACCTACAGAAGCATTGCAGCGTGGATGAGATGTCGGGTTTTGGATGGAGCTTTGGATGAGGGATCCTCCTTTTTGACTTGAAGTGCGTACCATTTGCAGTGAATCCAGGCGCCTGCATGGAGATCGATGCCACCCACTGCTTCGTCTGTGACTGCCTCCTTCTCGTAGTCGTAGACCTCGAGGGGCCAGCAGCTCAATGGAGCGCTTTGGTGCGTGATCATGCGTCACGCGTCTCTTGTCACTCACGTGGCAGATTGCCAAATGCGGAATGGAATGGCGGTTGACGCAAGAGTGATGGTCTCAACTTCAACAATCTGACCGACTCTTTCATGTCACATTTAAAGAGACCGCACTCCCTTGTCAACCAACAGGTCCGTCGACATTCACTCCCATGGCTCGTCTGACAGAGCGGACCGGAGTCAGTGCCCTCTCCCTAGTCACTTCTTGTTATTTAACGCGTATATTTTCTGATTCTACATACTGAGAACCTGGAGAGGACTCGACTCGTTGTAGAGGCACCAGCTTGCATTCATTGTAGCGAATAGAGAAGCGACTGCATCTGTAAGACTACCAAATGCCAAGAAAACGAGCTACGTGCAGGACAAGCCCCTGATAATTAATCTCGTTTCTTGTAAGTAATTAATGCGATTGAAGCAAACGCACGTGTACGCATTCTGTTGAGTGTTGAGTCACCTTGTGCCATGCCTTGGCACGCAATGTGATGTATTTATTCGCGGTGTTGGCTTCGTAAACGAACGGATACTGCTCGAATGCAGCAAGACCGGTAAGTTTGCACTGAGTACAGCGCACTGCGATCGACACCAGTGAGCAGCTAAGACGTGAGTAGGAGACAAGTTCAGGTCTCCAAGGAACGCTGTAAACGAAGGCACTGCAAATCAATGCACGACATTGCATCGCCGATACGTCGTGCGTAGCATCAAACACAAGATTCAGACATCACCCTTACCAGTTCCAAGCAGACCGACTGTGTTTATTGCATAGACGTTTATAATTGTACCGGCTAACTCTTCTTACGATGATGATGTTGGCCCAAGCAGACTAGATTGTACACGCGCCCACCATGCTGTGCATGTACACGATTCATGGCGCCAAGACCAGCAGTCGACACTCACTCGATCAACACTGCGAACGATCGCTGCGCGTCTGTAAACGCATGTTTTCGGCACAAAGGGCACGTGGTGCTAGTGTTGAACCAGTCGATAATACAGTCTTCGTGAAAATGATGCGAGCAAGGAAGCTTCACCATACTATCTTTCACAGTCCCGCCCGCTTCTTTTCTACAGTTGTACTCATTCAGACAGATGCAGCACGTGTGATGCGTGGCGATCGAGCTTGCAATATCTCCGGGACCAACTTCTTCCAGCGCCAAGACGGCAGCAGTTCGACAGCGGTTGATCTCTTTCTGCTGCAGTGGAATTTCGAGAAACTCTTCGAGCATATCAAGAGCTTCACTAAGATTCGAAAGGGTCCGAGTGTTTCGCAAATGTGAGTCGTACATGTATACAGAGATGTCCGTATACGCGTCCAGCATCTCGCGCACAAACTGCTGCAGTTTCTTCTGACGTTCTTTGACGATGACGTCAGTGTCGCATCGCATGTGTTTACGTGGAAATGTGGGAGTCTGTAGTGCCGGCAGTAGCAGCGCTTCTGCAAGAGCAAACTCCTTGCATTGTGACCGATTTGAGTTGTCGCGGAACTGCCGATCCCATTTCTCAACGTGCTTCAACAAAGTCTGACGGAAGTAGAAGAACTCGGAGTAGCGCTTGATGAGCACCCACTTGACAGTATCTGCATAGCGGGCATTGCTACGGATCTGCAGTTTGTAGACAGTGAACTTGATGGCCTTGGCGTGCAATGTCGCAGTCAACGACTTGGTCTTTATCTCCATTTTATCAATGTCATGGTGACGCGCCTTGAGCAGACGACGCGACGGTCCCTGTAACTCAATCGTGCAAAGCGGCAACGACGTCTTGCTGTCAATGAGTCTCGCAATGGACGATCGGAACGGCATCTTTTCGGCGGTTGAGTCCTGACAGCGAGCCGGCAAATTGGAAAGTGCCAAGAAGAAGATGCGAGCGTCAGCTCATTGTATCTGCGACAAGAATCTTCGGCCAATCAGCGAGCTGTCCAGAAAAAAGAACCACACTTACTCAATGTATTCAGATACAAAAGCAAAGTCAGCTTCTTGCTCGCTGGTGGGTACATTACCTTTTTGCTGCGCCTAAACACACCCTACAGACACTCCGAGTCTCGGGACATTATTTTTTGTTACTTCTATCAGCTTCGTCGTATCAAAAGCTCTTTATTTCTTTTCGAACATTTACTGTCGGCAGTGTGGTTTAAGGTGTATCCATCTTCAATCGAGTCTGTCGCAAGCCGCAGTCATTGACGCAAACGACTGTGGTGATCCATTGATTAGTCAAGATGCTGCAGTTGGCATCAACTTTGACCAGAAAAAGGCTGGTTTACAGCAACGACGACACCGCGTGGCGTAAACAGCGCGGGATCCCACGATCGAGCGGCTATTTACGACAGTGCAAGTAATTGCAGTATCAGTACACTTCACATCAACTGCTCGCTTCTCATCGTCCAATCGCTCTTCCTCGTTTATTGCTGGTCCTACAGTTTCGACTGGCTCAGCTCAAGCTTGGCAATAGTGCGCATATGTACCTCGTCAGGTCCATCGGCGATGCGAAGCGTACGCAATGCTGCGTACAAGTACGCCAAAATAAAGTCCTGACTGACGCCCGCAGCGCCATGAAGCTGGATCGCCCGGTCACAGACATTTAGTGCCATAGCAGGTGCCACGATCTTGATCATTGCAATGGCCTGCTGAGCGACCTTGTTGCCGTGTGTATCCATTTGATGTGCTGCCTGTAGAGTAAGTAGTCGCGCACTGTCCAGTTCGCAGCGCGACATGGCAATTTGGGAACACACGAGCGAGTTCTCAGCCAGCAATTGCTTGAAAGCGACGCGTGTCTTGGCACGCTGCACCATTAGCTCAAGACAGCGCTCCGCTGCGCCGATTGTGCGCATACAGTGGTGAATGCGGCCGGGTCCAAGACGTGCCTGGGCGATGTCAAAGCCTCGACCTTCGCCCAGCAGTAGATTGCCAAATGGAACGCGGACGTCTTTGAACACCATTTCCATGTGTCCGTGCGGTGCGTCGTCGTAGCCAAACACGTGCATTGGTCGCACAACGTGCACGCCTGGTGTATCCATCGGCACAAGGATAATGGACTGCTGCTTGAATGCACTCTCGTGCGCCCGCTCAGCGTGTTTGCCCATGAGAACGATGAGCTTGCAACGTGGATCACCCGCTCCGGAAATGTAGAACTTGTGTCCGTTGATCACGTACTCCTGGTGCTCTTCATCTCGCACAAGACTCGTTTCGATGTTGGTGGCATCAGACGACGCTACGCGCTTTTCAGTCATCGCAAAACACGAACGGATCTCTCCGTTCAGCAAAGGCACGAGCCACCGATGCTTCTGTTCCGTAGTGCAGAAACGAGCAAGAATTTCCATATTACCAGAATCAGGTGCCGAGCAGTTGAACACCTCCGGTGCGAGCATAATCGAGCGCCCCATCACCTCACACATGAGCCCATACTCGAGGTTGGTCAAGTCTCCGCCGTACTTGGCATCGGGTCCCTTGCCATCGAGTGCAGGAATCACACAAGGAGGCAGAAAGAGATTCCAGAGCCCAAGCGCTTTGGCTTCGGCCTTGAGCTCCTCGGTGATGGATGGCACAACATTCCACACGCAACCATCTTCCCGTGCTTTGGCAATTTGGTCCAGGTGCACATGCTCTGCGGGGTACACGCGAGTCTGGCAGAACTTACGCAGCTTCTTATAGACAAGCAAAGCATGCGGACGAATCAGAAACGGCAGAGTAAGTGCTAACTCTGGATCGGGGTAAATGTCAGCTGAAGCGTCCATGATCACGTCGCTCAGTGCCAGTAGCCGATCCATTGTCGTGATCGCACACATAGCGTTTGCTGATGACGCATTGCCCAGCAACGCGCGAGCGTAAACTCCGTGACTGATTGCAGCAAAGCGATATACGACCATGCCGATGAAGAAATTCCACGTCCGAGTAGGTAGCGGGTAACGTCTGGCCCGACGACAGTATCCAAGCAACAAATCATATTCCAACGGAATACCGAGCTTTTTCAGCGGGGCGTCCGACAATCCTGGAGTCATGATCGTGTTCGAGTTGTCCATCGGCAATCTGTATGCTGAAGCTAATGTCGCTACATCGGCAAATGGGTTTCCCACCGTGCACAATTCCCAGTCGAGAATCGCCAGTACTCTTGGCTCGGTTGGGTGGAAAACCACATTGTCAAGCCGAAAGTCTCCATGAACGAGACAAGCAGCTCCTCCATCTCCGTTCAACTTCACCGTCGCCTTCTCCGCCTCATCACTCTGTTGTTCCAGCCAGTGTTGCAATTGGACCATCTTCTCGTTCTCCTTTACTCCTGCCTGTGCAAGTACCTTGCGTCCCCCTTGTACCTGTCGACTCCATCGAGCCACCACTCGATGACAGTACTTCTCTGGCTTGCCAAAGTCGGCCAATCCAACGGCCTTGTAGTCCACTCCGTGCAGCTTTGCCAGTGCATCCAGTGCCGAGCTGTACATGGCATAGCGGTACATTGGCTTGACACCAGGCAGCGACGGGTCCTGAAAGATCCGACCGGGGACGTATTCCATGAGGTAAAAGGTCGTTCCAATGACGTCAGGATCTTCACACAGGAGCACCGTCCGCGGCACTGGCACTCCCGAATGCTCCAGAGCTTGTAAGACTCGAAACTCGCGCTCGACAGCGTGGGCAGACGGCAACAGGTGACCGTGTGGTTTCTTGCGGAGCACCCATTTGGCTTTGGAGTCAGCCATCGTCACGAGGTACGTGGGGTTGGACTGGCCGTGCTGGAACTGCGTGATGGCCGCGATTGGTCCATGAGAAGCGCCTAGCTGCGACTGGATGTACTTGGTCAAGGCCGGAGCGTCCAGCGCTTGACGAACGTCTTGGATCGTCATTCACGCGATCGGCGTGCAGTAAAGTGGGGCGAGGGATGTTGAAATGGGCTTGAAGCTGAAAAATGTGTACAGTTGATGTGCACGGTGTTGCGGCAGAGGTCCTGAAGGGTTAAATGTGTGACCGGAGAGGGATTTTGGGTAATGGGTGGGTGGGTGGGTGGATGATCGAAATGGTAATTAAATTCTGGCTGCGACTGTTGCGAGCGTACAATATTGAAGCTGTTTTTTCATCAACTGTTTTTTTTTGCATTTGAGATCGACGTGGTCTTGAAGCTGCTGTAAGATCGACCTACTGCATGTACGTCGTCTTGACTTTGTTAACGCAGCTGCTTGCTCGTTCACATGTCGTTCACTAGTTAGTCTCGGCGAATTCCTTGTTTAAGGCACCGCCAATGACGAGATGCATAATCTCTGACGTGCCTTCGTAAATCTCCGTGATGCGCGCGTCGCGATAGTGGCGTTCAGCTGGCATTTCAGACACGTAGCCCATGCCACCGAGCACTTGGATGGCCTGGTGGGAGCACATAGTGGCAGCTTCCGACGCCTTGAGCTTCGCCATGGCGGCCAGCTTTGTATAGGGTCGACCCGCATCTTTCTCGACAGCAGCTTTCCACGTTAGCAGACGCGAGGCCTCAATTTCTGTGGCCATTGTCGACAGCTTAGTCTGAATAACAGGATTCTTTGCCAGAGGCACACCGAACGTTTTGCGGGTCTGCGCATACGCGATAGCACAATCGTACGAGGCCTGAGCAATCCCCAGTGCCTGCGCTGCAATGCCGATGCGACCGGAGTCCAGCGTGACCATGGCGATCTTAAACCCGTCTCCTTCTTTGCCAAGAAGACATTCCTTCGGAATCTCGACGTCTTCAAAGATAAGGTTGCCTGTACTGGACGCACGAATGCCGAGTTTGTCCTCCTTCTTTCCCAGTGAAAAGCCTGGCGCGTCAGTCGGCACAATAAACGCGCTAATGCCCTTATGCTTAAGCGACTTGTCCGTCGTAGCAAACACAATTGCTTGATCAGCATCGTGAGCATTCGTAATCCACGCTTTTGTACCATTCAGCACATATCCCTTCCCAGTAGCCCGTGCCGTGGTCGATGCCGCACCAGCATCACTGCCATTCCCCGGCTCGCTCAAACCGAAACAGCCAAGCTTCTCGCCACAAGCAAATGGTACCAAGTGCTTCTCCTTCTGCTCCGTCGTACCAAACGCATCGAGCGGTGCACAGTAGAGTGACTATAAAAATTGCCCAACAAATAGATAGTAAAAATGATAGAATAAATAATAAAACACAACACAGTTAAATGATCAACTATTGCTCGTCGCAAGACAGAGCCAAAAGTGTAGAGGGACGTACATTATTCACCGACATGACGACGCCCGTTGATGCACAGCCTCGACTGATCTCCTCGATAGCAATAGCATAAGCCAGATAGTCCAGTCCTGCTCCTCCGTATGTGTCGTCAATAGCGACGCCCATAAGCCCCATTTCCCCCAGCTCTTTTACTTGCTGAGCCGGGAACTTGTGCTCCTTGTCCAGCTCTCCAGCGATTGGCGTGAGGTTCTTGGCCGCGTACTGCACGCACATGTCGCGTAACATCACGTGCTCCTCGGGCAGCGTCGACAGGAACCCGATCGAGCGTGCGCGCAGGCGTCTACATATAAGCAAAAAAGATTAAAATAATCAATTCGTTCTTCGTTCATTTATATAATTAATTCGTCCCCCATTTAGTTATTTATTTTAGGGACGTTTACGATTCAGTGATAGAGATTACAATTCAGTGAATAAAATTAGACGTACGTGGAGTTCTGAAGTATCGTGGAGACGCGTTGCCGCAGGGAGTTGGAGAACATGATGGGCAAGTACAGACGCGAGAGAAGTGACTGTACGACGACAAGTGGAATGTGAAAGTAGCAGATGAGCTGAAACGTCTTATGGACTTGTGCAGGTCAGTGCGGCGCTTCGAGGAGAGCTTCTAGTTTGGTGTGGATATAAACTTCGACAGGTGTTGTAGCACGCACGTTGGGTCGCGAGAAAAGAATCGACGTGGTCAGAATGTTTTAGTAAAGTTCAGGGCACAATTTATTAGGGGCGTGACCTCGTCCACTTCCCCCTATTTCCATCACACACACACCCTCGTAGCGAAACTCGCTGAATAGAAGCACTGTATAGTTAGTAGCCCGTAGCACGTTTGGTGGCCGAACAACGTCCGTGCAGACTTTCTACGTATTCGAAAAAGGTTGGTCTGCTGGTTCATTCGAACAAATCGATGAATGACAGAGATCTAGATGGACGGCGACAATGCGAAACAATGGCTGAAATTAGTTTATACTAAGCAAGCGATGGCAGAATGCATAGGTGGACAGCGAAACGAAGAAAAATGCGAATGTGCTGACTGATCAATTAGCGCTTATGCCGTCCTCTGGAGCTTTTTGTATGTGATCAATGCATTGTAGAGAAGGCTAGTAGCCGCTAAGAAAAGAACGATTCACGAACGACATTTGAAACTCACTTACTGTCCTATAAACACTTCGTTCACAGCTTCCGCGATGTTAATTATGAAAGACAGCTCTTTCGCTTCATCTTTATTCAATCCAGTTGTGCTATAGCAATTTGTAACGGGATAGCCCGTTACATGATATTGATACCAAATGGCGTCAATATAGATACTGTCTGGCATGATAATATCCTACCAATTTAATCCGAGATGGATAATATTGTATGAATACTATCCGAGATGGATAACTTTAAAGAAATATTATCCTCTTAGTATAATATTCATGCGCTGCTCAAAGAGTGGTTGATAACGACGTATCATCCAAGATTACCCCCAGTCGCTGCCAGACGCGCGTAACGGGCGGTGAGCAGGTTGTCGTCATACGACAATGTCGATTAATATAGCTAGATAAGGAATAACGTTCTATTGATAGCTTCACTGTATTAAATACAGTTCTCTTTTTACCCTGTACTCAAATGAGCTGTTTAAATTGATTAGCTTCCTCTGCACGTACTAGTGTACGTGAAGTTTCGAGGCACCCCACACAAAGGGTGCCCTGTTACACCCGATAGCACTTCGTAGTCCGTCCAACGACTACTTCGTGTCCGTCCAACATGAACATGTTGGCCGCAGAAGACGACAGCTTCCACGTCACACGTGAAAGCTGCTCCCATCTGAGTGACTCTGAATGGGAGGTAGTCGGCCGCATGAGTGTGCTCATGGGCGAACCCGCCATCAGTGGAATGTTGGATACTCTAAGCAGATATCAGCAACATGCTGCTATCAACAAGTTCATACAAGGGGAAGTTGCCGTCGAAAGACAGAAGATAGCCTTGCTACAACAGCAAGGCTCTCACAAGTCGATGGGCGAGCCGACGCACATGCGTCGACCCGAAACCTTGAAGATAGATATCCCCAGGTGCAAGGGAACTTATGAAGATTCCCTTTCGAGATGGTTCGCGGAGTTAGACGACGCCATCACGGCCCGTCACATCGAGGGTGACGAGATACAAGTCACTTCGCTATGTCAAATTTGACAGGACGAGCAAAGACTTGGGCCTTAGGGCTCAAGCTCCACGACCCAAACGTGTTTGAGTCGTTCGAGATCTTGAAGTCACGGCTCAAAGAGACGTTTAAGCCGCCGAGATCTGAGTTCAGAGCACGCTCTGCACTCTTGAGGCGACAGCAAGATAAGCGTGCACGTCACGCTTACGCACATCACCTGCGCTACCTTGCAAGTGGCGTTACGGATAACCCTGTTGCTGATCACACGCCCATCGACGTGTTCATCTACGACCTTGTAGATGGACTGGTGGAGACCTACATGTTCCGAGAGGACTTCCACACGCTGGAAAAAAGGCTATAGCGTATGCGGAACAAGAAGACTTTAGCCTGATACAGTCTCAGGCCAACTCGTCAAACTATCGTCCGACGAGACGACAGAAAACCGGAGGTCACGAACCAATGGACCTCTGTTGTATCGAGAGCGAGAACTCTCGCTCTCTGAGTCACAAGCGAACGGCAAGATGCCATCGCTGTCAGAAGATTAGACACTACGCTCATGAGTGTAGTGTCCCAAGCACCGCAACACGTTTAAAGACAGGACGTGATGACCACTGTTGGCCAAGAAAAGGTCCAAGGCGCGGGTCTAACCATGTCGCTAAACCGCGACAGCAAGTCGGACCGTCAAAAAACGGTCAGGGTCAGTAGGGGCAGAGCACCCTGCTGATCCAGCAACGTCAAGAGAATTTGCAGGACTCTTGACGAAGCTTTCTTCCAACACACAGTCGCTGTGTGTTACTGCTTCTATTGATGATGTGTCCCTCATCACTTTGAAGATCGAAGTGACAAGTGGAATGTCACTTCGCTACCTAGTTGACTGTGGTGCGGCGAAAAATTTATTCGACGCCAGTCGCTAAGGATTAGTAGGCTCAACTATGTTGAGCGAGAGTTCCCTCCAACGAGGATGACAGTGTGCCTTGCTACAGGCGCATCCGTAACAGCCAACAAACGTACAGTGGGAATCCACTACACGCTAGAAGAAAAGCAGTACGATGATGACTTCATCGTATTAGATGTGTATGGCAAATTTGTCGTCATTCTCGCTCTGCCATTGCTTAGTAAATACCAGCCATGGGTTAGCTGGCAGCATTGATCCGTGAAGATACCTGCCGTTTGTATATCAGATGGCCATCTGATGAACGTCTTGGAGCGTCTTCGAGCGTTTGGATGTACTTCGAGTGAGTGCGATGGCCTAACTTGTGGTACGGTCGTACAAATGCACAAGATCACAGTGTAGAAGGCCACTGCACTGTGGAATTATCTTCCGGCACCTGTGTAGAGATACAGGCTGCGCCGAAGGTTCGCCACCTAAAGAGATCGAGTGTACTGGAACACGGATGCGCACCAAGAAGGGTGCATCCGAGAAGAGAGATTAGTGTTGTTCAGGATGATCAACACGTTGAAGCAAGATCGACTATCAGAGAGCCGATCGTAGTGGACTTGACCGTGGTAGTACACGTAACGAAAGAAAAATCCAGCGTTTCTGAGAGCAAAAACTCCCCAGAGAGTAATGTTGGGGGGGTGGATCCCCAACCACCTGCGGATGTGTTTTCCCAGGGAATAACCGAATCAGTGAATGTCTTGGTAAATGACGGATCAAGTGTAGGCGCTTATACACTTGATCTGGTTACTCTTTCAAAGTCAGCTTCGATGGTAGTCAAGTTGCCAACGCTCGAATCAAAAAGATTCTTGCGAGATCTGCGTAGTGACAAGATCAAGCAGATCTGCGTACTAGTCACAGAGGACGAATACGTCGCCGATATTCGGTCGGAACAAGTGTTTGCTGAAAACGAACGGGTTTTCAGTAGCTCATCGATGGACGAGAGTGTCCTGGATGAGAATACCCGGATTAAGCGATACACGTCTCAATCTCGGGAGTCTTTGAAGACTAATCCTTTGCATAAGGATTAGGTTGAATTCAGGGATGTTTCCCTGAATCCGTGCCATGCGAGCTGCCTAAGGTCACAGGCACTCGGCATGAGATCGCACTGAAACCCGGTTCGAAATACTGTGTCATGAAGCAGTGGACACTGCCTCGTGAACAGGTCACAGCGATCGAAAAATTCTTTGCCGATCGCTTAGCGGCTGGTCATGTGAGGGAATCAACATCCTAACACAGATGTCCAACCTTCTGTATGCGAAGTGCCACGGGAGGGTGGCGGATAGTGCACGCGTTCAACAAATTGAACGCTGCAACGGTACCGGCTTATATGTCGGTACCAAGGAAGGACGTAATCATATATGGTATGGCAAAAGTACCATCTTTTCATCCATGGATTTGATGGATGGATTCTATCAGATTCTCATGCGTGAACGAAACATCCTGTACACAGCAGTGAGAACTCCCAGTGGTATGATCTGGGAGTGGCTAGTGATGCCACAGGGGCTTAGTAACGCCCACGCAACGTTTAACAGATGTGTTACGAATGTATTGCGATCGGTGCGAGACTTCGCACCGAGTTACTTTGACGATGTCTTCGTCCATAGCCGGGCTATGGATGGAAAGACGGACGTGGACGCTCATAGAATCCGCGTCCGGAAGGTTCTTACACTAATGCGTGAGCATAACTTGTACGCGGACCTCAAGTAGTGTACATTCGCAGCGAGCGAAATACCACTTCTTGTCTGTACCGTGGGTATAAACGGCCTTTGCCCTGATCCAGAAAAGATCATGGCGATTAGCAACTAGCCTGTTTCAGTCGACGTCAAGGGACTTCATGGTTCCTTAGATTAGCGGCTTACTTGCAAAAGTACTCGCGCAACTACGCAGAGATGACCGTTCATCTCTCTCGCTCTTTAAGAAAAACGAGAGGTGGTCATGGAGTGCTGATTGTCAGCACTCCTTTAAAGTTATCGAGAAAGCTCGATACAATTGCCTGTGTTGGAGATTTAGACCAATATAAAAAGAACATTCCACGTGGTCTGTGACACCAGCGAATATGCAATCGGCTGCGCGTTAATGCTTTACAATCAAACGGCGTTGAGCTTTGTCTGTTATCAATCCCGTCAGCTGCAAGCAGCTAAGCGTAATTACCCGGAGCATGATAAGGAGCTCTTTGGCATGAAATATGCACTGACTAAGTTTTGGGTATATCTCTTAGGAGATAGGCCCTTCATCGTTTGTACCGACCATGCATCACTACGCACGGCCATGAACAGTCCACACCCCTTGCAACGAATGGAGAGGTGGCTGTCTTTCTTCGCAGAGTACAACCCCCCCGTCGAGTAGAGACCAGGACGACTAAATGTCGTCGCTGATGCTCTTTCGCGTCGGCCCAATTTCGAGACGACTGCTCAACCTAAAATTAGGGGTGATCCCACTGTAGAAACACTAACAGTGAGTGTTCCGTCGTCGAATCTGCTCGACGACGTGCAAGAACAGTCGCAGATGATGAGTAGACAATCCATGCCGTCAAGCATTGAAAAGCTTGTCGTCTCAATACCGCTCTCCTACCGAACGGTATTCGGGTCGTGATGGACTGCTGTGCTGTACAGCAGTCAACTTCGACACACCTCGTGTCGTCGTTCCCGCATATAATGATTTGCGACTGCGCATCATGTATGAATGTCACGATGCCCCGACAAGTGGGCATCGCGGTAGAGAAAAGACTTACCTCATGGTGAGTCGTGCCTTCTACTGGCCCCGCCAGCTTGAGTTTGTGAGCAAATAGATTCGCGCTTGCGAAGTTTGTCAACGGGTAAAGCCTAGTCCTTCATCCCGCGCACCCTTGCAGCCTCTACCGATTCCGGCAGAGTGTTGGCAGTCCGTATCGATGTAATTCGTCTTCTGGTTTCCCAAAGACGCTCACAAGAATGCTGGTATTCTTGTGTTTGTTGATCAATTCAGCAAGATGTACCATCTTGCTGCTGTACTGGAGTCAATTACAGCCCAGGGCTGTGCTCGCGTCTTCATCGATAATATCTTCCGACTATACGGGTTACCTGTGAGCTCTTGTCTGGTAGAGATCCCCGCATCCAGATTGCCAGACGGAACGCGCCAATCGCATCCTCGAAGAGATACTTCGAGGATACGTCCACTCGATTACGAGTTGGAGTGAGTTCTTGCCGATGGCGGAATTCGCCATCACAACTCGGTGCATGCGTCGATCATGCATACACCGCTCTTCGTGAGTGGCCTACGCCATCCACGTTTACCCGCCTTCTTATTTTGTAAATCTAGTTTGAGGGGAATGGACTCGCTCGAACAAAAACCGATCTGGTTCTTGCTCATCACCCGTCGACAACGGTGTAGACGTGATGGATGTCGATGCGATCGATGCCGATGTTGATGATGATGATGACGATGCTGGTATATTCAGCATCGCCAATGACTACCAAAGTGAGGACGATGACAGTCTCACTGTGAAGACAACGTCCTATCAGCAGTGCACACGAAGTGCACTGCTGTTGACAAGAATGAATCAGCAGAGGAACTTCTGTTGACTCGCGAAGCGGTTGTCCGCTTCTTTTAAGACTCTATTGCAGATGCACTAGACAGACATAAGAGAAACGCAGACAAACATGGAAGAGCGAATGTTCTTTTATTTGATGAAGGAGACCTAGTTTTACTGTCTACATTTTAATCTACCAAACACGCAGCAACAAACGTGGGCAGCAGTAAAATAATGCTCAACAATATCGGTCCATTTCGTGTGTTGCGCCAAACGGGCAACGCATACACGATTGAACTGCCCCGTAAGATGCGTACGCATCCTACGTTTTACGTCGGTCTTCTCCGCCCGCACTATCAGTACGAGCCCGTTTCGAGATGCGAAGAACACCTCTGCGGTCAAGAACCGAGACCATATTAAGTGGTCCCGCTTCAACGATCCAGTCTGGTCGGCTAGCCAAGCGACCTGTTTACGCAGTTGAGTGATGTGCTGAAGAGCTACAGTCAGCTCGTCACAAAGATAAAGAAGGTAAAGTTTGCTCTCAGGTTGCGCGACCTCAGACGCTGCACGATCGTTCGAACTATCGTGGGCTAAGAAATCGCAATCATTCCTCACAATGTCATGAAGTACATAACGCTAAGTCCATTGATGAGCCAAGACGTCGTGTAACTGATCGGTTACACGTTTCAGTTCTTAAAGATCGTGCTTATCCGACCATCGAGCCAGATCAGGTGCTCTCGCCTCCACCACATCCTTTGGTGGATTTTGGCGGTGATCAACGCTTTCTAGTGAAGAGTATTTTGAACCACCGCGACGTGAAGGGAACGGATGAGTTACCTCGTCCGCTGGTGTGGCTATACACCGTCCTGGGACAGCTGGGTGCCTCGCTCCCAGCTGATTGTTGGTGTTCTGG